GTCAAAGGTAGACTAATATTATATGTAAGGTAGAATTTCGTATCATAGGTCATGGTGATATAACACACACATAGGTTTAATGAGCTAAATGATAATATTATAGGTAATTATACACGATGGAAACGATAAAGCACACACACACACACACACACACACACACACACACACACACACACACACACACACACACACACACACACACACACACACACACACACACACACACACACACACACACACACACACACACACACACACACACACCAGTAGCAGGTCCGTGTGTGGTGGTGGGGAGGGAATTAAATTATAGGTCACAGGTAACAAGTTAAGTGCTAGTTAACCTGGATACAAGGCATACAATATAGGGGTCAGTCTGCCTCACCTTCCTTAATTACTCCCTTAATTACTCCCTTGGTCTAGATTGTTTTCTTTCTTAAATATAAACCAACATTTATTTATATATTATTTAATTAAAAACAACTCGATTTTTATTGTCATCTTAATTGTTTTGCGATTAATTAGTATTAGTTATTATTGCCATTATGCTTAATTATGATGATTATTTCTATGATCATTACTACTATTATTATGATTATTACTTTAGTGTTATAATTACTTTGAAGAAAACAAACTTTCCAAGATCAAAACAGATGGAAAGATCAAGAGAATTTCATCAACTTGCTACAAACACACACACACACACACACACACACACACACACACACAATTACTACACCACGTGATGCCCCTCATAACACCAACTGTGAGGGAATTACTACACTACGTGTCTGCTGTTCAACTCCTCAGCTCACATGACCTACGTGTGTAAACATTAATCTGTATGTTCCTTCACCTTTCTCTAATGAAGGCTTTTGTTAAACCACCAATGTATGTAATAAGTCATTTATGTCCAATGTATATTTTCAGCCTTCGGGCTGCAAACTCTTTCAATAAACCGTTTATTATTATTATTACACACACACATCTCTTTTGTCATATCCCTACCCCAACAGCCAACCCCCCGGCCAAGCCCCCCCGGCCTCAGGAGTTCCTTTCCTTGGAGGTCTTTGTAGGAGCCTAGAAAATTGCTGCTGGACTGAAGAAAAGATCAACAGAAACTTGGAAAAAAAAATGGTTAGTGTTTCCCTCACCTGCCCCACCCCACCTCCTCACCCTCACCTCACCTCACCCACCCACCCTTCACCCCTCACCCTCACCTCACCTCACCTCCCCTCCACCTCCCACCTCACCTCCACACCTCCCCCCACTCCCCACCCCACCTCACCTCCACCTCACCACCCCACCCCACCCTCACCACCCCACCTCACCTCCCCCCTCACCCTCACACCTCACCCCACCACCTCACCTCACCTCACCTCACCTCACCTCACCTCCCCTCACCTCACCTCTCACCTCACCTCCCCTCACCTCACCTCACCTCACCTCACCCTCACCCCACCTCACCCCACCCCCACCTCACCCCACCTCCCCACCTCACCCCACCCCACCTCACCCCCACCTCACCTCCCCACCCCACCTCCCCACCTCACCCTCACCCTCCCCACCTCTCCCCACCTCACACCCCTCACCTCACCTCACCTCACCTCACCCTCACCTCACCTCACCTCATCACCTCACCCCCTTACTGTTATCTTCCTCTACTTCCCTCTTCCTCCCTTTGTCCATCATTTTCTCCCATTCCTCTTTCAGTTCTTTCTTATCCTTCCTCTCTCCCTACCTCCCTCACCCAGTTTTTCCTCCTCCGTCTCTTTCCCCCTTCCTCCTTTCTTTAACCCTCTTCCGATTCTCCAGTTCCTCCTTCCACATCTTCCTTCCTTCCTTCCTCTTAAGGGGTAAGATGAGTGATGGTAATGATGATAACACACACACACACACACACACACACACACACACACACACACACACACACACACACACCCCTTTCCAGTACAGCACAGGAGTATGGGGAGGGAAGGGGGGGTACAAAAAATATATATATATACCTACATATAAGCCAGAGGTTCCACGCATGCATAAAACATATTAATTTGAATAGACAATGAGTTGAAATTAAGGTTGGTGGAGCCTGCTGACACCCGCCTGTGTTACCTCTGCTGGACCAGGCTGTATATTAGTGTGGCCTACAGTGTATAGTGTGTATTAGCGATGGGTGGCTATACTAGAACTATGGTGTGTATGGTGTGTATAGTATAGTGAATGGTGGGTGAGTGAAGTGTATTATGTGTAGTATATATTAAGTATGACCTGGAGTTTGTGTATGACGATTTTGTGTCTAGTGAATAATATGTATAGAGAAATACTACCTCATGATGACGTAGAGATAGTATTAAGTAATAAGTACAGTATAAAAAATGTATAGAGTTAAATAATGTGTATAAAGAAGTGAATCATACATTATTATACTGCACAGCATACTTATATTTCAAGGGGATAATCAGGTATGTATATGTATAAAATATAACCTAGATTAATACTCTGGGGGTGAGAAGTGTATGATATGTACACACACACACACACACACACACACACACACACACACACACACACACACCTCCCCTTACCAATACAGTTATATAAAATACCTCCACCTACACTATCATAATATACGTGTGTGTGTATGTGTACGTGTACGTGTGTGTGTGTATGTATGTATGTGTGTGTATGTATGTGTGTGTGTGTGTGTGTGTGTGTGTGTGTGTGTGTGCAGTGTAAACCTTGTAAGAGCTGTTAGTAAGACACCCAGGGGACCTCTTCTTCGGCCAGGGAGGTGACGGTGGACGGGAAGGTGAAGCTAATTTGCATAAACAAGCTAATTTTCTTTTACTACACCGTCCATTCCTTGCCACCTGAGTACTGCCCCTCCTCCTCCCCCAAGACACCCAACAGGCTGCCGATACAGTCTCTGTCTGTCTGTCTCTCTGTCTGTCTGTCTCTTTCTAGCGATGAGGAGAGAGAAGAGTAGAGAAGAGGAAACAAAGAAAGGTGAGGAGAAGAGAAAAGAGACAAGGCAAATAAGAGACAGAAAAGAATATAGAGAACAAGAGAGAGAGAGAGAGAGAGAGAGAGAGAGAGAGAACACCAATCCCCTTACCCTAACCCCTATTCCCTTATACTTCACACAATAAACATTCACTCACTACAGGAAGACCTTTGTAACAGAGAAGGTAAAATTATCCCCGTTTCAAATCTTCACTATACTCAAAAATCGCCTCAGAACTCAAAATATTCACTGTAAATGGAAGTCTGGAAGTCGAGGGGCACCATAATCCTTCACCCCCCCCCCTACCCCACCCACCCCAAAAAAGGGCAAATAACACGTCTTGGTTGATCCGGGATTCGAACCCTTGTCTCGAGTATTTGCCCACGATCTATCTATCTATACTTCTTTCACCAACTGGATTCGACGTGTTTTTGTTTTTGTTTTTTCATTTGTGATTATAAATTGTTCCAGGTTTAGGTTAGGTTTAGGTTAAGTTAGGACATGTTAGGTTAGGTTAGAAGGGTTGTGACTATAAACCACACTACCACCGCAACCACCCAGCACTCCACACCACAACCACAACTCCACAACCACACCCACACCACACCCACACCACGCCCACACCACCGCCCAGCACTCCACCAAAATGTATTCTTATGATAAATCTCCCCTTCGTACTTTAAGTGAATAGTGTAAAATACTGTCGTAAGTGGGTGGGCTGAGGTGGGTGGGTGGGTGGGCGGTGAGGGCGTCTCGGGGGAGATAGTTAAGTGTCTCGGTGATTTACGTGTTCACGCCACTCTGTCAAGCTCTAGGAACGAGGGAGAAGACCTGCTTGATTTACTGAGGTATGAGGGGCGTAGTTCTTCATGAGGGGGGTGTGAGGGGGTAAGGGGGGGAGAAAGGGTGCATGGTAGGAGGGAGGGATGAGGGAGGGAGGGAGAGAGGGAGGGAGGGTGCATGGTTGGGAGGGAAGGAGAATACATGGAAGAGAGGTCACAGAAGGCCAGAGGTAGGTCACAGAAGGCCAGTGGGAGGTCACAGAAGGCCAGTGGGAGGTCACAGAAGGCCAAGGAAGAGGTCACAGAAGGCCAGTGGGAGGTCACAGAAGGCCAGAAAGAGGTCACAGAAGGCCAGTGGGAGGTCACAGAAGGCCAAGGAAGATCAAAGGACGCCAGGAGAGGTCAAAGTAAGGTATGTAGATCCCCCTGAGTGACAGCAAACACAATCAACCCTTGTTGCTTAACCCCTTCTATCTCCCTCTCCCCCTTTCTCTACCAGTCCCTCCCATTCCTCATCTTCCTCTACCCATTTTTTATCAACCTCCCCTTATCCTCCATCCTCCTTCTCTCCTTATTACTCATCTATCATCCACCCTTTTTCCCCCTTTTTCTCTTGCCAAGCTTTTCTTCTCTCCTCTCTCTCTCTCTTGCTTCGTCTCCTCTCCCTCCCCTTCCTCTTAACTCTTCCTCCTTTTATCTCTAACTCTCAACCTATTTCTCCCCGCTCTCCCCCCACTTACCTCTTCTTCCTTTCTCCTCCCTCCCTCTCCTTCCCTTCCCTCCCCTCACCTTCCTCCCCTCACCTCCCTCCCTCTCCTTTCCTCCCCTCTTCTCTCCCCTTTCATCTCTCACCCTCTCACCTCTCTCCTTTCATCTCTCCTAAGAGCCTGTGGCCCAAAATAAGTTAGCAGGGCGGATGCTTCCCTTTGTTGAGGTTAGTGTAGAAAGGGAAGATTAAAGGAGGCGGAGGAGGAGGTGGGGAAGACGAGGAGGTGGGGAGGAGGAGGAGGGGGAAGAGGAAGAGGAGGAGGTGGGCAGGAGGTGGGGGAAGAGGAGGAGGTGGGGGGTAGAGAAGGAGGAGGAGAAGTCGTTGCTTAGTTATTCTACCACAGGGAAAGTAGAAGCAAGGTAGGGAAAATACAGAGGGAAATTATATATATATCTCCTCTTATTTAGGAAGAAGACGGTGTGATTATATATAGGGAGACAGGAGTGACGAGTCAGTAATGGTGTGTCAGGGGGAGGGGGAGAGGAGGGACGGAGGTTCACCCAGCCACCAACACCCCAACACCTCCAATCTCTGCCAGTACCTCCTCCTCCTCCTCCTCCTCCTCCTCCTCCTCCATCTTCTCCTCCTCCTTTCTCCATCTTCCTCCTCCTCCTCCATCACCCTCCAATGGCTGTCACCACAAATGAATAAATCTCTAAGCATAATAGACTCTGCCGGGGAAGACAGGGGATCCATCTTAGTGGTTACCTGTTGCTGGTGCTCGCTGCTCGCCTCCAATCAATCCACCTGTCCCCCCTCCCCCCCTCTCTCCACCACCCATCCATCTATCTATCTGTATCTACCATCAAGTCTTCTCTTCTCACCCTTCTTCCACCTCCCTCCCTGCCCCCCATCAATCCATCCTGACACATTTCAGGTCAGGTCAGGTTAGGTCAGGTCAACTCTACTCACCCGATCCGTTGCTGTTCGGTTTCGTCCAGCCTCTCCGCCCTCTTGATCACATCCAGGATGATCTTCGTCTCCGCCTCCGACAGAGAGTCCTGCCGGGTCACTGGTGCTGGTTGGCTCGTCGACCACCCCATCTTGAGTCTGGTGACGGAGGGAGAGGGGTGAGTGACTGCTGACGGAGGAAGGTGTTGAGTTAAAATAATAAGAATATTAACCTCAACAATAATGATCTAATATACAGGTTAAATTAATGGGAATAACTGTGAAGTTCTATACATGAATACTATCCTTACTAACCTAACCTAACCTAACCTAACCTAACCTAACCTAACCTAACCTAACCTAACCTAACCTAACCTAACCTAACCTAACCTAACCTAACCTATCCTAACCTAACCTAACCTAACCTAACCTAATCACACACACATACACTGTTGGTTCTCTTAACACACATACAGTACAAGGTTTTACAGGTCGTACATGGTGACAGGCACTTACTTGGCTCTGAGTGCCAGGTGACGGTCGTTAGGACACACCCACCGCTCCTGCGTGGGTTGGCTGCCCAGGCTGGCTCTCCTGACGATGGCTCCTCTTCCTGCTCCTCCTATTGGGCTACCTGCTACACTATTACTCCCCTTATTTCCTCCTCCACCTCCTCCAGGAAATCCCCCACCTCCTCCTCCTCCTCCTCCACCTCCTCCTGGAAATCCCCCTCCTCCTCCTCCTCCTCCACCAGGAAATCCCCCTCCTGCTGGTTTGCTCTCCATCCTGACTCCTTCTAGCTAGCAAGATGTGTCACGCTCCTTCCATGGCGGTGTGAGTCTCCTGCAGGATGCTGGTGGGGCCAAATCGCCTCAGGTCTAGTAATGCCCACCTCTACTGCTCCACGACCCCTCACTCACATGTTTACGGTGAAAAGTTCCTTCACTCACTCACTCACTTTATCTCTCTTATCTCCTTAATTATTACACCTTCTTCTATCTTTATTTTCTCACTCGTTATCTTTATTTTTGGTGTGGTTGAAGTGGAATGTCTCTGTCACGAGGAGTTGAGTGGAGGGATGGTGTTTGCTGTCTCACCTGATCCTTCCATTAATTACCTGAAAAGATAAAGTTCATTAATAAAACTCAAGGCAAAATTAAGATATTTTAATGAGACTCACCATAAGACTCTCAGGTAACTACAGGTAATAAGACTAATTAACAGCCGTAATTATCTAATTGAAATAAGCCCCTGAGGAAACTACCTGTACATCACGTCTTTTCACCCCCTAAGGTCTAAATACGCTGGTGTATTTCTATGCTTTAACACCTAAGGTCTTTCCCCACATACACTAAATTGGTTTATACTTTATACACAACATAAGAAGCTTTAAAATATACCACAAGTTATACAAATATACTCCACTACTTTGTTACAAATGTATAAACACTCAGAAAATGTTAGTCACAAATTGCAGGGTTTCTCATTGGTGGATCTCTCATTGGTGGATCTCTCATTGGTGGATTTCTATTGGTGGAGATTTTATAAGTGGAGCAACTTAGTGTGAGTCGGGAGTAAACATTCTCTCTAAACCCACACACACACACACACACACACACACACACACACACACACACATCAATATAGACCGAGATATCACCAAGCTTCGGTCAAGTCACCAAGGACTGTGAGAAATACTGAGAGACAAGGAGAATGGTGAGGCGATCAGAGACAAGGCGAGTAAGGCGATCAGAGACAAGGCGAGTGAGGCGATCAGAGACAAGGCGAGTGAGGCGAATACCCTTCAAAAACAAAACCAGGGTCCAGATAACAACAACAACAACAACAATCAAACAAAAACACCAAAGTAAAAAAAACACAAATAAACACAATTAACTAAGTTCTTTCCTAACTCACAATGAGACGAATAAACCACAACCCGATTTACTGGGAAAAAGACTCCAGGTATTCTGGTTTAGTCTAGGAAAAAAAAATAAAACATTGAGGTTTATTTTCATTCCACGCTGGAGAAAGGTTTGCCTGCTTACAGGATGTTGTTGTCTGTCATATGAAAAAAATAGTGAGTTTGTTTACGAGGGATTCTTGATGTTGTTTATCATATGAAAAAAAAATAGTGGAGATATTTACGAGGGATTTTGTATTCATATTAGGGCAAAATTTATATATATATCTCCCTGATTTTCTGGTTTATATTAGGGAATAAATAGCGTAAGTTGGTTCATGTTTGGGGGAAAATAATATCAGTGGGGATTTTTTCTTCTTCTGAACTAAAGTGTTGATGCTAGGGTAAAAAAAAATTAACTAGGGATGTTTTTGTTATTGACTTTCCGACACATTAGGGGAAAAATCATCTTGGTGGGGATATTATTTTTTTTGGTGTTCTGGTTCCTGTTAGGGTATAAAAAAAAGTCACGTAGTCTCGTCAATATCTTTATGGTGATACTAGGAAGAGAAGTTGCTTTTGGCGGACTGGACCTTAACTAAATATGACTTCATTTTTTTTCATTTTTTCCCCTGAATAATTTAATGAATATTCTGATGCCTTTTTTTTTTACATTTGAGAGAGAGAGAGAGAGAGAGAGAGAGAGAGAGAGAGAGAGAGAGAGAGAGAGAGGTGATGAATTCCCAGAAGAAGAAGTCACAAATGTCGATAAATAGAACGAATTTTTCTTCCTAAAGACAAGATGGAAGAAAATTAAGAGAACACGCAAGAAAACTCAAATCAGACCCCATTTCCTCGTCGGTAAATCAGAACCCCTACTCACGTACGTAACCATGTCAAAACCATCACGGACACGACAAGAACGGACAGAATAACATCACCACACATCACCACACATCACCACACATCACCACACATCAAAATCATGGTGTAACAAAACTCGAATGAATAAAGAGACAGACAGACAGACAGACAGAGACAGAAAGACACACAGACAGACAGACAGACAGACAGACAGACAGACAGACACAGACAGACAGACAGACAGACAGACAGACAGACAGACAGACATACAGACAAACACACGTATATTAACACACACCCACTTTCCTTCTCTCTTGCTATACTGCGTGGCCTAACAAGAGGAGACAGAGAGAGAGTGAGAGAGAGAGAGATTAAAAAAATATACAGACTTTTTTACACCTCCTTCCACAGCAGAGTGAAGCGTAAGGTAAAAGTCTTAAGTCTTTGGTCTTGTCTCATATACCTTACCAAGTTCTGTGCGTCATCAAAGGGCAATTTAGATGATAAATTCTGGAGTGAAAAAAGTCTAACCAAGAGACTGACTGACTGACTGACTGACCCCGTCCCTCCCTGACTGATATCACCTCTTGCTGACTTACACATTATAGACTGACAGATAGATGACAGACAGACAGACAGACAGACAGGTACATATATATATACTCATTCACACACATACATACATAGACATTCTCTCTCCCTCTTCACACACACACACACACACACACACACACACACACACACACACACACACCTATATAAACGTAAGATCATGAATCCCATCACCAAACACGAAACGAAAAAACACGACAAAATCCTCAAAAAACCTCAATTTAAACATACAACATCAAAGTTACATGAATCAACACAACATAAAACAAACGTTGAATAAATGTTGTATTATGTTGTGTTTCACATTGACAATAGCTGGTAGTTCAGTGTAGTAAAGGATAGAGTAATGGTTGTTTAAGAGTTATAAATCATATACTGGGGAATCAATATTATGGCTGACATATTCACCACAATATTACAGAGAGACCCCCTCACCTTTACTACCACAGTGCCTGATTATAGCCACACAGAGTCATTACGAGGACACCCACCTATCATACCTCCCCCCCCCCCCCCCCCCCCCACTTATTACAAACATACATACACAGTCAATAAAATCAATTAAATAAGTAAATAAGTCAATAAATAAATAAATAAATACCACCATAAATCACCCAGTTAATTACCTGTGTGGGAGAAACTAATTACCATAAACCAGCCTCCGTCAGGTACCTGTAGAAGGAGCTCAGTAGCACAGATCTCCTAAGGTAAAGCAACGTTCACCTGGAAGCGTTCATTTACGGTGAGAAGAATGATAGCAATAATTGTTTCCACCGTGGATGTTCGTATCTATCTATCTATCTATCTATTTATCTATCTATCTATCTATCTGTCTATCACAACAATATACACAGACAGCAAAAAACACACACATACACACACACACAAATACAGACACATAAACAGTCATGACAGCCAAATACACCCACGTCTCTTCTTCTCCTCTAACAACAACAACAACAACAACAATGTAAACAGGTGTACATCAACAAAAACAAACAAATTTACTTCCTCTAAAGGTGACTGAGTTTGTTTGTGTGTTGATGGTGAGGAGAGAGAGAGAGAGAGAGAGAGAGAGAGAGAGAGTATGTTCCCGGATATATTCAACACTAAATTAAGTCGAATACACTTTTAAAAAATAAATTACACTCTTTCTCTTTTAATATTCCGTGCTGCAGTTGAGATGAATAAAGCCCAAGGGAGAGGTGTGTGTGTGGGCGAGGTTTGGTGGCGTGTGTGTGTGTATGTGTGTGTATGTGTGTGTGTGGGTGTGTGTGTGTGTGTGTGTGTGGCATACTAGCACCCAGTATACACATGGCTGCGGTGTGCTTATTATACAACAGTGCTCATGCTGGGGGGTTGGGGGGGTGCCTACACACACACACACACACACACACACACACATACACCCACACCCACACACACACACACACACGTCGCCTCCAATGTAAAACACCTTGAACCAAGATATTATGATGCTAACGTTGACGCGATTTAGAGTGTGTATACGCAGAAGGAGTAGCAGTAGAAGTAGTAGTAGGAGGAGGAGGAAAAGGGTGAGGCTGAAGGGCATAAAAGAAGTACAATACCTCCCCTTTACTCTTTTTATTTTGAGGGCGGGTGGGGCGGGCGGGGCGGGGTGGGCGGGCGGGGGAGCGAGTAAAGCTTGAAACTCTCATCTGAATGACCCGTCTCCTTCTACTTCTTCAGGAGACGGTAGATTATATATAGCAGCACAGGCCTCAGAAAGCTTATCTCAGGTGGTGGTCCTTGGTCGTAATCTGGAGGTGGAAGGTGGGGTGGAAGGTGGGGTGGGGTGGGGAGGGATGGTGGGGATGTGGGGGTGGGGGGGTCTTTGTTTGTTTGTTTTTCCTTGATGTTCGTGTTATTTTTTTTCTCTTATATGAAAAAAACTTTAAAAAAAAATGAACTTAATATTAACGTTCAAGATGATGTAGAAAAATGTTAGTGAATTTGTTTACATTAAGTTGATAATATTAGTTGAGTGAATTAAGGTCCCAGGATGTATTTTATGCGTCCCAATAATGACTTAAAAGGGTATGGAATAAGTACATCAGTGAGAGGTGGAGTGTGTGTTAATATAGTTCATTTACTGTAGTATTCTGAAGGGATGATATGAATAAACCCAGATACTGATGCACCTTATAAACACTAAACCCAAAATTTACTTCTTTAGGATTTTTGATGGTATATAAAAACACTATCCTATTTTCCTCCGATGAAATTTACAGGTAGGATTGATGGTGGTGGCGGTGGCTGGGGGGGAGGGGGAGGAATGGTGAGGATTGATGACCTGGAGAGAGAGAGAGAGAGAGAGAGAGAGAGAGAGAGAGAGAGAGAGAGGGGGGAGTATGTATCACTCCGCCTCACGTAAAAGTAGGTCCAGCCAGCCAGCCAGCCAGCCAGCCAGCCACCAGCCAGCCAGCCAGCCAGCCAGCCAACCAGCCAGCCAGCCAGCCACTCTCAGCACCGTCTCTCACTCTGCATTTATCACCATGAAGTAAATAGCTCTTATATACCCAGGTGTGAATAATGCCAAGGGTGATCTTTGTGTCCGTCACTCTTAAATCTCGCGCCTAGAAGAGACACCTCGCCGTATGAATGAGGAAGTTTACCATAAAGCCACACGGTTAACTTAGTCTCCAGGAAGTGAAGTTTTATGGAAGGTTATGAAACTGTAGTAAAAGAGAATATATGATTTTAAATAAGACGATAAG